ATATAGGCATCGCAGTGGACCCTATAGGGGAAAACACCATTTTCAAGGGATCCCATCAGAAAAATGGACAAAAAATCTAAAAAATATTCTGTCTCAGGATTTTGATGCAGAATGGTGAAGAATCACTCCAGAAATCGTTTAAAATACTCCGCTTGAGAATCGTATAAGAATTGGCGAAGATATAGCCATCCCTGTGGCCCCTATAGGGGAAAACCCCATTTTCGAGCGACCCATCACGAAAAATGGACAAAAAATTTAAAAAATATTTTGTCTCAGGATTTTGATTCAGAATGGTGGAGAATCACTCCAGGTACTCCGCTTGAGAATAGTATTAGAATTGGCGAAGATATAGCCATCCCTGTGGCCCCTATAGGGGAAAACCCCATTTTCGAGGGACCCATCACGAAAAATGGACAAAAAATCTGAAAAATATTTTGTCTCAGGATTTTGATGCAGAATGGTGGAGAATAACTCCAGAAATCGTTTAAAATACTCCGCTTGAGAATCGGACTAGAATTGGGGAAGATATAGCCATCCCTGTAGCCCCTATAGGGGAAAACCCCATTTTCGAGGGACCCATCACGAAAAATGGACAAAAAATTTAAAAAAATATTTTGTCTCAGGATTTTGATGCAGAATGGTGGAGAATCACTCCAGAATTCGTTTAAGGTACTCCTCTTGAGAATCGTATAAGAATTGGCGAAGATATAGCCATCCCTGTGGCCCCTATAGGGGAAAACCCCATTTTCGAGGGACCCATCACGAAAAATGGACAAAAAATTTAAAAATATTTGGCTCAGGATTTGGATGCAGAATGGTGGAGAATCACTCCAGAATTCGTTTAAGGTACTCCGCTTGAGAATCGTATAAGAATTGGCGAAGATATAGCCATCCCTGTGGCCCCTATAGGGGAAAACCCCATTTTCGAGGGACCCATCACGAAAAATGGACAAAAAATTTAAAAAATATTTTGTCTCAGGATTTTGATGCAGAATGGTGGAGAATCACTCCAGAATTCGTTTAAGGTACTCCGCTTGAGAATCGTATTAGAATTGGCGAAGATATAGCCATCCCTGTGGCCCCTATAGGGGAAAACCCCATTTTCGAGGGACCCATCACGAAAAATGGACAAAAAATTTAAAAAATATTTTGTCTCAGGATTTTGATGCAGAATGGTGGAGAATCACTCCAGAATTCGTTTAAGGTACTCCGCTTGAGAATCGTATTAGAATTGGCGAAGATATAGCCATCCCTGTGGCCCCTATAGGGGAAAACCCCATTTTCGAGGGACCCATCACGAAAAATGGACAAAAAATCAAAAAAATATTCTGTCTCAGGATTTTGATGCAGAATGGTGAAGAATCACTCCAGAAATCGTTTAAAATACTCCGCTTGAAAATCGGACTAGAATTGGGGAAGATATAGCCATCCCTGTGGCCCCTATAGGGGAAAACCCCATTTTCGAGGGACCCATCACGAAAAATGGACAAAAAATTTAAAAAATATTTTGTCTCAGGATTTTGATGCAGAATGGTGGAGAATCACTCCAGAATTCGTTTAAGGTACTCCGCTTGAGAATCGTATAAGAATTGGCGAAGATATAGCCATCCCTGTGGCCCCTATAGGGCAAAACCCCATTTTCGAGGGACCCATCACGAAAAATGGACAAAAAATCAAAAAAATATTCTGTCTCAGGATTTTGATGCAGAATGGTGAAGAATCACTCCAGAAATCGTTTAAAATACTCCGCTTGAGAATCGTATAAGAATTGGCGAAGATATAGCCATCCCTGTGGCCCCTATAGGGGAAAACCCCATTTTCGAGGGACCCATCACGAAAAATGGACAAAAAATTTAAAAAATATTTTGTCTCAGGATTTTGATGCAGAATGGTGGAGAATCACTCCAGAATTCGTTTAAGGTACTCCGCTTGAGAATCGTATTAGAATTGACGAAGATATAGCCATCCCTGTGGCCCCTATAGGGGAAAACCCCATTTTCGAGGGACCCATCACGAAAAATGGACAAAAAATTTAAAAAATATTTTGTCTCAGGATTTTGATGCAGAATGGTGGAGAATCACTCCAGAATTCGTTTAAGGTACTCCGCTTGAGAATCGTATTACAATTGGCGAAGATATAGCCATCCCTGTGGCCCCTATAGGGGTAAACCCCATTTTCGAGGGACCCATCACGAAAAATGGACAACAAATCTAAAAAATATTTTTTCTCAGGATTTTGATGCAGAATGGTGGAGAATCACTCCAGAATTCGTTTAAAATACTCCGCTTGAAAATCGGACTAGAATTGGGGAAGATATAGCCATCCCTGTGGCCCCTATAGGGGAAAACCCCATTTTCGAGGGACCCATCACGAAAAATGGACAAAAAATTTAAAAAATATTTTGTCTCAGGATTTTGATGCAGAATGGTGGAGAATCACTCCAGAATTCGTTTAAGGTACTCCGCTTGAGAATCGTATAAGAATTGGCGAAGATATAGCCATCCCTGTGGCCCCTATAGGGCAAAACCCCATTTTCGAGGACCCATCACGAAAAATGGACAAAAAATTTAAAAAATATTTTGTCTCAGGATTTTGATGCAGAATGGTGGAGAATCACTCCAGAATTCGTTTAAGGTACTCCGCTTGAGAATCGTATTACAATTGGCGAAGATATAGCCATCCCTGTGGCCCCTATAGGGGTAAACCCCATTTTCGAGGGACCCATCACGAAAAATGGACAAAAAATCTGAAAAATATTTTGTCTCAGGATTTTGATGCAGAATGGTGGAGAATCACTCCAGAAATCGTTTAAAATACTCCGCTTGAGAATCGGACTAGAATTGGGGAAGATATAGCCATCTCTGTGGCCCCTATAGGGGAAAACCCCATTTTCGAGGGACCCATCACGAAAAATGGACAAAAAATTTAAAAAATATTTTGTCTCAGGATTTTGATGCAGAATGGTGGAGAATCACTCCAGAATTCGTTTAAGGTACTCCGCTTGAGAATCGTATTACAATTGGCGAAGATATAGCCATCCCTGTGGCCCCTATAGGGGTAAACCCCATTTTCGAGGGACCCATCACGAAAAATGGACAACAAATCTAAAAAATATTTTTTCTCAGGATTTTGATGCAGAATGGTGGAGAATCACTCCAGAAATCGTTTAAGATACTCCGCTTGAGAATCGTATTACAATTGGCGATGATATAGCCATCCCTGTGGCCCCTATAGGGGTAAACCCCATATTCGAGGGACCCATCACGAAAAATGGACAAAAAATCTAAAAAATATTTTGTCTCAGGATGTCTCAGGAAAAAATATTTTCTCTCTTTTAGTAAGTATTCATAGCTTGGCTAATTGTACTTGTTAGCTCCAAATATATTATTCCCTCCTAATTTCGGATCTTCGAGTAGCATCAATTTATATAGCAACATACCTACAAAAAATCTGGGCTAAAAAGTTTCTTAGAAATTGTATTGGCATAACGGTGATTTAAAAAAAAAAAAGTTTGTGTCCAACTTTTGAACAGAACTTTTTTAAATGTGGCAATCCTTAAAATCCAGCAAATCCCAAAGTTTTGTTTCAATTAGTCAACCCTAGATAAACCTCTAAAGAGTATAAAAGGCGGGATCTGGCCTGGTCGTAGTTCAGTTGTCTTCTAGGTCCCACAGGACCCAGTTAATATATCTTCTTAATTTCTATTTCTTTATTTCTTTTTGTTGAGATTTACTAAATTTGTTTTTGTTTAAAAGATTTTTTAATCATTTTTTATTTTAATTTTTTTGTTTGTATTGGTGTAAATCTTATTAATGGATCCTTCTTTATCTCCTCCATTATTTGAGCCCATAATTTTATTAACTTGGAAGAACAGCGAGATCTACAGAACTATCTGAGTTTTATTTTTCATTTAAAATGTTTATTTTTTGTATTTTTTTAAATTTTTCTTTTTATTTTGTGCAAATTTTATCAATGGATCTTCTTCACTTCCGTCAATATCTGTGCCAACAATTTTAACAATTTTTGTTTTTTATAAGTGTTTTGATGCAGATCGGTTGTCTTGAAAGTATACCGGGGTCGACAGAGCTACCTGAATTTTATTTTTCTTTAAAAAATGTTTATTTTTTTTATTTTTTTTTTTTATATTTGAGTATCTCCTACCATCGGATCTTCTTGACTTCCGTCAATATCTGTGCCAACAATTTAAAAAATTTTAGATTTTTATAATTGTTTTGATGCAGATGGGTTGTCCTGGAAGTATACAGGGATCGAGAGAGCTACCTGAATTTTATTTTTCTTTAAAAAATGTTTATTTTTTTTATTTTTTTTTTTTATATTTGAGTATCTCCTACCATCGGATCTTCTTGACTTCCGTCAATATCTGTGCCAACAATTTAAAAAATTTTAGATTTTTATAAATGTTTTGATGCAGATGGGTTGTCCTGGAAATACACCGGGGTCGACAGAGCTTCTGAATTTTATTTTTCTATAAAAAATGTTTATTTTTTTAATTTTTTTTTTATATTTGAGTATCTGCTACCATTGGATCTTTTTGACTTCCGCCAATATCTGTGCCACAATTTTAAGAATTTTTGATTCTTATAATTGTTTTGATGCAGATGGGTTGTCCTGGAAATACCTAGACGGGAATTGATAGAGATATCTGAATTTTATTTTTCGTAAAAAATTTTTATTTGTATTTATATTTATTTTTTTTTTAGTATCTTCTTTCGATGAATCTTTTTGTATTGTTTCATAACTTGAACCAGTAATTTAAACAATTTTTGAACCATATAAGTGTTTTGATGCAGATGGGTCGTGATGCCTGTGGACATATGTATTTCTGCAACGGCAGTCCCTTTACAAATCCTGATATATTGCCTAAACTATTGATAACTTGGTTGCCCGTGGTGAATTATCTCAAATTCTATATTTCCATGACCCTAAAACCAACAATTGGACCAAAATATACCAAAGAATACAACCCTTGAAGCTAAAGCTCGAAAAATTGTTTATTCAAATTTCAAAAACAAAAATTAAATGCATCCAAAAATTCTTTTCTGGAATTAACTTTGTTGACGTTCGGCCACCAATCCCTTGACCAGACCCACTAGCATGTCCAGACCCTCCTGGTTGTTTTTGGCATAGTAGGGCAATGCCTGCAGTCGCTTCACCCACTCCACCAGCTTGGGAAATTTTTCTGCTTCTATGGGAGCAAATGCCTCCGCCGTGGACACTGAGGCGATGCAGCTGAGATCCGCAATGGTCAGTTGGTCGCCAGTTAGGAAGGGTCCATTGGCCAGGCAGTGCTCCAGACCGTCGTAGGCCTTCTGGAGGTACGCCACACGATCTGCCGGCAGTTCTCCAACTCCAAAGTAGATAACAGGCTCTACAATGAAGCGGACGCGCGGAAACAGGTGGCCGCAATCGTAGTACAAACGGGCATCCACAAGACGGCGCTGGGCCGCATCCTTTGGATACAAGGAGTCATTGCCGGCAGGAGCATACTTATCGGCCAGATAGCTGCAGATGATGTGGGAGTCGCTGACCACGGTGCCATTATCATCCAGCACCGGGATAGTGTGCTGTGGGTTCAGTTTCAGGAACTCTGCTGACAAATGCTCTCCAGCTTTTACGTTGACTGGGCTGAAAAATAACAAATAATATTTTTAAATAAATCGCATTTAGAAATAGTTGTGATAAGATTTCTGCCTCTTTCTTAAGTGAGTGGTAAGTGCTAATCAGTATTTTCTGATTTCCCTAAAATAGTCTCTGTTGATGGTAAAATAAACTCGATTATAATAAAGAAAGATACGGAAACTATTTTTAGAAAATATGTTTTTCTCACAAAAACTTGTAAAATCAATATGACAAGCATATAGTTGGAAAAAACTCTAGAAAGTAGTTAAAGTTGAGCGAAGCCCATCGGTCAACCAGAGGGTTAAACAAAAAAAGCCGGGGGAGACCGGTTTGACCCCCACTCACCGTAGATCCAACTCCAGACCCAGGGCGGCGGCAGTCAGCAGAACAGCGCGGCAGGGGGGACTGCGGGGCGCATAGTAGAGGACGGGTTTGGACGACATTATACAAAAAGGCTGGAATAGATTGGTTAATTAGAAATTTGTGTGACAAGCCAACGGGAAACCAACAACCAAATATTTACTTGATTCACGAAAAAACACAACCGACTTAGCTGGGCGGTGAAAATGAAATAAAAACTCGGAGAGAATTAAGTTGATTGTGTGGCGTTATCAAAGCTTTCAAAAGCTTTAAGTGTTTTTATAAATATTTACATTCTCTTTACAGAAAGAGATGGCAAAAAAGCTTGGCGATCAGTGGCACGATCAAAGCTTTCATATCGACTATCGATTAGAAACTATCGCTTATTTTGAGAAAATCTTGTAGCTTAAAAAACCTAAGAAATTTCTGTTATTTTGTATAAAGATAATCAATATCAACATAACCATAAGAAGTAATTAATTACTATCCCTTTTATGATTACCACCCTCTCGAATTCCGCATCGGGAAATGTTATCAATTTTTGATTAATTTCTTTAAGTAAATAAATTTAGGGAACCGAAAAGTTTACTGAATTAAAGCATAAAATAAATCTTAATTTTTGAAGGAAAAAAATTCATTTCATCGAAAGCAAACAAATTAAATTCACGCACCGAACAGGTGACTAACTAAGAGGATTCATCATTCCCTCCAGGCCACAGCCCTTTTATTTGGAGAGGTGAAAAAAATTAAAATTTTAAGCGGATTTCGGTATTAGTTAATGGCTCAGGCCCGGGGCAACCTTTCACGGATTCGCTTTCCCGGGCTTTTTGTACACAAAGTGAATATAATTGGATTTCTGATGCCCTGCGTCAAGTGGATGAGCGAGACAGAGTTCTGGTGGAGGGATACCCTCCTGGTGACGGTAGGAGGAATGCTGGAGGAGGAGGATAGAGACATTCATTTGGAATGCAGCGGAGCAAAAGGTGAGGACCAAAAAATGTCGATAACGGTGGCTTTCGAACTTGAACTGAAAGCGGCGAACTCCGAACTCAGAGTGCGACTCACGTCGAATGCCTTTAAATATTTGGTCACGGGCGAAGGCGATACCGAAATGGGAAAAATGTTTGCCCAGGTATGCAGGCAGGTCCTTGGCAATAAGTACTCCTCCTCGTCCCCACAGACAAGACGCTGTTCGAAAACCATCCTCACCACCCTCACTTACCATCGAAGCCCACCTTCCGGGGCAACTTTTCGCCCAGCTCGCGTTCGAAGACAAATTTGTGAAAGCAATTTACAGTTATTAAAGCTTTTAGTGGGATCAAAAGCAGGACTCGCTTTGGTCCTGCTCGTCCTTGTAGCGAACAGCGAGTAGAAGGCATTAAATTTAATTTGGTAATTGAATAATTTCTGTGACAAACACGAACGCACAGACTCACAGACACTGACAGGGAACTTTGTTTGGCTGGAGGAGAGAAGGCAAAAAGGACGTGGTTGGTGGAAGGAAACTATGTCGCCAGGAGTCCCGCGAGGCTTTTGAGAGGGAGCCCTGAAAGCATTAACTAATTGATTGCCACTTGACGAGTGACATTTATCTTCATAACTTGAGGCCTCTTTTTTCATCCTTTTCTGGCTGCTTAATTGAAATCACAGCTAGGACTCCCAGCTAGGACTCTAGCCTGGATAGCAGATGCTCCACTTAAAGCGCCAAACTGTGCATGAGATTAATGGTAATAGGATAGCCAGGACTCGCACAAATATACATACATACATACGCATATACGTATGGTGAAAGGATACTGACACCCACACGGGACAGCATGGCAGTCAGCTGTTCGAGTGCAAAATCCAGTGTTATTAATGATCCCTTCGACGCGTGGGTAGAGTTTCCAAGGGTATTCCCGCTATCCTTTCACAGCCGCCCTCCATAAATATTACTTAATTCGCATTCAGCCTTGGCATTTATAACAATTAAATTGCGGCACTGCCGAGCTAATTGTTCGCTGCGCCCCTCTAAAGCGCCGAGACAAAAGAGTCCTTGCTCCCTGAATGACTGGCCGTATCCCCCAAGATTGACCGTGGGTGTATCCTATAGAGATTTTCGGTGTATATATGTGAATCTGCCACGAATCTGATAAGGAATCACAATGAAAATTAAGACGTCCGCATGCCACGACCGCCCCGGCTTTGTCAGTTTCATTTTTATCGGAAATAAAGTCTGGAATTTCCAAGGACTAGGCATATAAATCGAGGCTCAAATTAAAAGTGACATCCCATTATTTAGATATAGATATGAAGTGAAATGCGGGCGGACAAGTCAAATGAAGGGCACTCCTCGAAAAAATACAACAAAAAATGAACCAAAAACCCAACCCAAATGGGCCATCGAGGACTGACAATGACAATCTGCCCCATGCAACCATCTGCCCCATCAAGGGGCACGCAAAGGAAACAAGGAGTGGGCCAGCTCCCTGAAAATTAAGTGCCGTTTCGGTTGAGTTGAGACAATCAAATCACATTCCTCAAATTCAAACCGAATGCTTTTGATTTGAAAGGCATTCAACATATTCAAATTTTCAACTTATAGCCAACAATAGAATGTGTCTAATTTTAATGGCCAAGATGAATTCCATTTGTAACCAAAAATACTCGTTATTATTTGGGATTTATTCCCTCTAACAATTAAGATTTATCAATGGACTTTTGTTCAATTAAATGCCATGACTGGCCAGCATTTTAAAGTCATAGAATGGGGATTAAATGTCAACTGCGATGACCTTGACATATGTTTTCAGTTATCCCTATTTTCTGGCCATCATCAGGAGGACATCAGCCTCCATGGAGGAGCCTCCATCAATGACATTTCGACACGGCGCTCTTTTTTGTCGCTCGGCTGGCTGACACTGTCAGATATCTCCAAGTTCTGTTTTTTTTTTTTGCATCCTGGGGATATGCCTGGCAGGCTTAGGACTTTAATTTGTTTGATCCTTCTGCGTTTATCAGCGAAATCCACTTGCAAGTCGCTTCGCTCTGCGCCTGTCAATTTATTGAACTTTATTGAACTGTAAAAACGAGCATAAATAAAACGGAACACATCCTTGCAGGAAGTAGGATAAAATAAAAGGGAAAAAAAACTTCGATTTTGGAATATTATAGGGTATAGAGTACGGCAGAAATCTACATACATGTACATCCCCAATGGATGAATGATGGAGAGCCATTTCCCTTGTCCTTGCTGGGAAAGGGGCGGTTGGGCGGATGGGTTTGCGGCCATTCGCGCTTTTACGAGCCACCTGAATGAATGGATTTTTAGGGCTTTTCGAATATGTATTTTAATGGAGCTGGTGGCATGTACATACCACCGATGCCTCGCCACTCTCCGCTGCCTCTCTAAACACGAGCATTGGGAATTTTATTGGGTTTATTTTTTGCGTTTTTTGTTTGCTTTTGGGCTCTGGTGCTCTGGAGCACTCGGAGCTGCTGTTGGCACTTTCTGCCTTGTTGCCATTGATGGATTAGCACAGTAAGCCAAACAGGTGGTATGCTTCTGTTTTCAGCCCTCCCTCACTCAGATTTCCATACCAGCCCCCAGCTCCTCATCCATTGCCCACGTGGAATCCTTTGGGCCATTCGATGCATCATCAAACTGACAGGCAGAGCAAGGAGAGGGTTATCCGAGATGCTGTATCACTGTTTTATGGCCAAACATGGTACAAAAAGTGGTAAAAAATATAAGAGAAAAAATGTGAATCCTAAAAGGCTATTGTGTTGCTCTCTAAGCGGATCAACTATCAATAAACGATTGTTTTAGACGAGAAATAAAAGCACATAAATACCATTAGATTATAAATCGATTATAATCTGCACTTGAACTTGAACAGTAAGCCTTAGCAATTATCCTTATAAAGTGGCCATCATTTGCATATTAACTGAATCACTCAATCGCCCAAGAGCTCAGAGCTCAAAAGCCCGCACTGAGCTCGTCATCATCCCCATCAGGATCTGTTTAATCCCATTAGCACTTTGGAAACAATTCGATGCGAAAAGCATTTCAATTGGCAACCGCAGAATTAGAATTTTGTTGAAAAGTTTTAGCAGCAAGAGGCGGCAGCAGCTGCCGGCAGTCAGTTAACCAGTTTGCACTTTGGCCAAAATGTGTTGTGGCCAAACTAAAATAAATGTTTCGATTCTACCTTCACCTCCGCCTCCACTCTGACTTCAACCTCAGAGAAAAGGTGGTTGTAGAATGTTTTCAAAATTAAACAGCTTTTATGTACAAACAATTTTTGGAACATGGCACAGAAATTGATTTTTCGTTGGAAATACATTATCTTGGACATTTTATTTTATTGCGTTGAATTGGGGCAATATATGTGCCGGAGCGAGAATGTTAAGATTTATGGGTCGTTAACCAGGTGGCTGGTGGTGGTCAGGACCGGAGATTTCTTTCAGCCCGGCCCGTATGTACTGGCCTGTACTGTACTGGACCGAGCTGGACTGCCACTCGACTGGACCCTTTTGCCATAAATCCTTGAAAGAAGTCAGCCACGTGTGCCCCATTATCTAATGTGTCAGGTGGGTGCTTGGGTGTGTGTTGAGCTGGCATGGACTCGGGTGGCAGTTCCCATTAACGAGGCAAATATGTATTAATTGCGTATACGCACTGTGCTCACCAGTAGGGCACCAGACCAGAAAAGGTTATGCTAATTAGGACTCGACATTGCCTCTCCTCTCGCCGTACTTGATAAATCAATTAATTTATGCAACATCAGCAGGCTAATGCACTAAGGCCGAGGCTGCGGTGGTGGGCGGTCGGGGGGTAATGACACAATGCGCCGCAGGAGTCGCATCACCCAAACACATCCATTTAATTACAAACAGTGGCAGCGGGACAGCCTCCCTGCCATGACCCACCATGCCCCACTTGCAGCAGGAAAAGAGCACGCAGCATGTGGCAGCAACAGCATCAGCAGCAGCTTATTAACTATAGAAATTGATTTTGCCCGGGGGGGCGCCGCAGAGAAGCCTTTTCCCGAGGACCCCTTGGGAAACAGCCTGGCGGGGACGCTTATGCTAATGCCCAAAGGACGAAACTGAACACAGACAACCCGTTGGCCAACTAATCGTGTTTAATTTGCAGCAGACACAGCTCCCGACACCTGAACCGAAAAATCCTTTCCCCCATCCTGGTCATCGGGGCGAAGTTCGTTGCTCCGCGTTGGATCTGTTTTCAGCTCTTTGTTTGGACCGATAATAAGGTCCTTGATGTAGATGTCTATGCAAACTCCCGAAAACAGCCATTCATTACTTTAACTATTTAATTACACTTGAAGTTAGTCCGTCCCGTATTTTAATGGAGTGTATCCGTTAGCGGCACATAAATCTAAGAGGCCTGCCTTAATGACTGGGCCGGATTTTGGGTCCTTTCTGGAGAGGGCATTGCCGAAGCAACTAGTGATGTATTTTATTCAAGTCCCATAAAGTTTTCTGGTTATGGCTGGTGTTTAACATTAAAGTTGGCAGATTATCAAAGGTTTAGGCCTTAAAATTTAGGGGTTCTCTGTTTAGGAGGTTTCTATTAGCTAGTTGAGTGTATATTTTATAACATATGTATGTATGAAGTGATATTTAAAGAACAGTTTTTTGAAGAAATTATTCAGAAAAGGGTTTTATTTTATCTCCAAGATTAAATAGTTCTCTACGATTATCTTATAATCTTTAAGTATAATGTCTATAAGTCCCTCAAATGTTAACCTTTCTAGCTGAAATTTCTAAGCCGTCATCTTTACTTCCTTGGACAACCGTTAGAGCCCCATTAATGGGGATCTCTTCCTACCACTATTGAAAGGTACTGCGGCGGAAGAAACGGAGTGGAAGTGAAACAAATGCCGCTGGCACCAAAAAGCTCGCCACATCCGTCGACTTCGTTTCAGTGGCTGCCCGGGAATATATCGGGCTTCCCCGATACTGAATCGAATACGAATCCGAATCGGAATCCAAATCCGAATCGGGCTGAAACTGGCACAAAACCCATTTATAGATGTTTGTGTTTGTTTTGGCTGCCACTGTTGATTGCTGTTTTGCTTTGGCTTTTGTTGCTGTTGTTGCAACATGAGGTAGCAACACAACGGTCGTGGGTGTTGTTTATCTTATCAGCCGACAGTTTGGCCAAAACAGATGGCCAAAAACTAAACAATTGTTTTCGTTGGTGGTTGCTAGCTGTTTATTCTTTCTCACTGTGCCTCTGTTTTTGCCTGTTCCTGCCTCTTTCTGACATTAATTGCCACAAAAAGTGCCGGTAACCAAATGCATATAGTACCAGCAACATCATTAATTGCCAGTGCAACATTTGTTGATGTTGCCAGCAACATGGGTGGTGAGCCTTCGTCGCTTTTGAGCCTTTTGAGCCACAAGTGTCTTTCTGCTGGCTATTTGAACGGGCCAGGAAAACAAAGCAGCAACAGCCCGACACAGGGCGAGCTTGTGCTCCTTTGGGCCACAAACTTGCTCTCACTCTCGGCGGTTGTGTTCCACTTTCCGTTCTGTTTCTGGGCCGAGAGCTTTCGGCTTTTCCGACCGATTTCCTCGCTCAGTTCCTCGTCGTAGTTCATAGCGTTTGGTGGTCGCAGCGCAGTGAAAATCAGACTCCGTTTTGGCCAGAACAGTCTCTGGCTAAAACAAGAAGAGGAGAACTTTGAAAACGGGCGCGAACAAGTGAGCAGCAGCCGAGTGAAGTGTAAATAAATGAAATACCCCACACACACACACAGATACACACTTGTGCACAGTTGGAGTCTGGGCCGGGTTAATATATTTTTAGGTAACTGGCTGGAATTCTTAGGGCCCCTTCATAGGTGTGACATTCCACCAATTATTTGAATTCTAGCCATTGTGCACCATCCATCTTTGGTCTGCGGGCTTACCGCTCACTGACTATCTGACTGACTTTGTTGACTGGTGCGGCTGACTGATTCGGCTCACTGACTTGGCTGACTGAGATTGATATGGGAAACAATGCACTCGGGGTCTGGATAAAATGGGGCAACAGAAAGCAATTAAGCCCGCCACTCCAAAACTTTCCATACCGCCCTTCCCTCCTCGCCAGAGACCCTTAAAAAATGTGCAGCGCACAGAATTTTAATTGGAAAAAACTTGCCTAATTGAAGTTTAATAAACAAAAAGCGACGACGGCAAGAAGAAATGCAAATTCTGTGCCGGACAGTCCAGAAACTTATTTCCCACCCACTCCCGCTCTAATTTTCAATTAAAAGAAAACAAAGACAAAAAAAAAAGAATCCCATTTTCAGTGCAATGACCACCGCAGAGTCCGAGGCCCCAGGAACTGAAGCCTCTACATTGTTCACAGTTGGCTTCCGTCTGGAATACAAATTAAACAAAAAAAAAAGTTTCTATAAAATCCTGACCGGATTCTGTGGGAGTTTCCACGTATTTCTGTATCCGCTGGCAATTAAAATATGCATGAAATGTAAATGAGAGATGCCCGAAACTAAAGCCCAGACCCAAACTCAAACACAAGTGTCCTTGTTAAGTCCTCAAAATTCTGTTTATTAAATCCAGAGCCAGCCAAGCCAAAGCAGAGTGCAAATGAAAAAGTGAAAACAAATTGTTTAAATTAAAGATTTCACACAAAGAGAGAAATAAAGAACGTGAATCAATCAGTTGAAATAAATCGAGGAACGGGAATGAAGGATATCGGACCGAGATTGAAAATTGCCGGAAAGGTAAGCCAACATCCAGGCCAAAGTACTTGGAGAGCCGTGTTTATATTTCAACTACCCACTTACACTCCCCATAGGCCTTTTGGTAATTAGTTTTCCCTGTGGTCCCTCGGTATGGATTCCCCTCACAGCCCCCAGAATACATTCTTTGGCAGCCCATGCGGCGTATGCGTAATATTAAGATAATTGAATGGGCCATGACACACAACAAACAGCAAACAACAAAAAAGAAAATGAGAATGAAAATGCGAACGAAAATGGAAATGAAAATGTTTCATTTTTTTTTTTCTGGCACTCTGCCTCCCTCTGGTCTCTGTCTTTTGGCCATCATAAAGCATGTTCCGAGCCGGCTCGGCATATCCTTTCATTGCTTCTCATGTCGAAAATGGCCAATAAAAATGTTTACGACACACGCACAGAGGCGGGCCAGGTGAATTCTTGGAAAATGTGTTTCAAGAAGCCTTGACTGCTTATTAAAAAATTACCCATTACGTGCACATTAAATTTTTCTCGTTTATCCTTCATTATTTGGCATTTTCATAAAGAGTTTAGTGTCTGATAGCTCGTCCTGATGACACACACACATAGCGCTCACCGAGACTGGGGCCTTCGTCTAATTAGAAGGAGGCCTGGCCAGAAGTTGATAAGGGTAAATTGGCAAATAATTAATCGCCAGTTCATTTGGAAAGCAACCACCACAGTTATGGCCCCATGTCGAAGTTAAAGAGTGGAAACTTCAAGTCTAAGAATACATTGTTTATAGTAATAAAAAGGCTTTCGTTTTGGGGAAAGACTATGTACGAGTGAAAATAAATACTGAGAGATAAATTTGCTTTCATTTTTGTTTACTCGCCGGTACATTTTTGCCAGTGAAGCAATCAAGCTAAATAAATAAAACTCAAACCGAAAATGGCATTAAAATGTCTTTGGGTTCTTGGATGAAGTTATGCCAAGCGAAAGGCACAGAGTACAAAGTTTGTTTTCCCCAGAAATTGATTTTCTCATATTAAAACATGATTTAAGCATTTGTGGGGGCAATTACACGTTGATAATCAATTTAGACGGCCAGTTACCAGAGCGAGAATTTAATTTAAGGCCCGGAGTGGAGTCCTCTGATGCCTTATTTGATTTATGGCGTATGCGTAATTTCGTTTCCGTTGAGCTCTAAATACACATAAAATCTTGTTTATATTTGCACGCGCAATTCTTCTACATTTATTCCGATCCAAAATCTTTTATATCCACACTCGAATTATTCGAAAGGCATAAAATACTGCAAAGAACAGCAGCAAACAATTGCAGAAGGCGTATCGCTTTGCATGTCTCGGCCTCAAAACGTAATGGCTCTCAAAAATTTTATATTTATTGAAACTATAAAATGTTTATGCACTTGACCCGGCCAGCTATAGAAAATTAATTTGGGTCAAAACAGAATCCAAAGGCGATCATTTTGCCATATTCCCGACTTGGCCAATTCTATTTTACTGCCAATCTGCTTGCCAGACTCTAGACTTGGCACCTTTTTTATGGCATCCGGCTGGCCGTTCTTTTGTTCTGTGAATGGACAGTGAACGATGTTTCGAGTGTTTAGTGTAAACATTCTTGAATACTCATCCGAATGAAAAATGTAGTTCAAGTGAATTGGGCCAATTGCTAGAAACGAATACGATTTGGAGAAAATTAAAGAAGAGTTATACGAGTGGGAAGAGTTTATTTTAAAGACCCTAATTAGGATTAAATCATTCAAGTGAGTGTGTTCAAGTACTCGGAATAATTTTTATTCACACAATAAAATGCAAATAAAACTCTCATTAAATCCTATCGTGTTCACTTTTGTGAAATAAAAACTGCATTATAATGAAGCGAACTTTTTTGGCCTTCAAATGCTATCCCCATACAATTGTGGCTTAAATTAATCAACAACTTTTTTGTGCCATGTTCAATTAGCTAAAGTGCGGTTTGGTATTTAATTCCTTTTTTTTTTTTTTGTTGTACTGACCTGCTGACCCTTTTCAGATAGAAAGGTCGGAACAGAGGAGACAGCCAACCTGGCGTATGAGTAATGCGCGTGCAAAACATTTATCTGGCAACGCACACTTTCAACGCCAAGTGAGGGCGCTTAAAACTTTAAACGAGTATCCTGTTGGGTGTGTCCTCTCCGCCCGGCACACTCGAAGGACAATGTGCGAGTGTCCTGTCCTTCAGATTATGGGGGAAACTGACGGGATAACTGGCGTGACGGTAAAGTGCAATAAATCAGCACTCGAACCACTTAATAAGGATGGCCAACCATCACACACACATACTGGCACGCATCCTTTTTTCAAAATATTTTCCTTTTTATTTGTCCTGGCATTTTTTGCCGCCTTTTCTATGTTTTTTTCTCTCTCTCTCTCTCTTGGCCAGAAATGAATTATGGCAGGGAAAACAAAGGGAAATATGCGGAAAATGGCTAAAACTGGGAAAAGCAGCTGGCCAAGAAAAGAGTGAAGGGGTGGGAGAGGAGATGTGAAGTTGATAGAAATAGAATTATTAACAAATGCCGACAGCTCGCCTTGTAAACACACATTACCCACAGCGATCCTCACTCGATGCCCCCTCAGATTAATTCGTGGGCGTGGCAGTGGAATGTTTTCGTCACGCTCTTTAATTGCCACAACTAGATGGCGTGGGCGTGGCAGCTGGCAGTGCCGCCTTTATTCTGTTTTGATTACCAGCCAGGCCAAAAATATTATTTTCAATTTATAATTTTTGCTTGCGCATCTGTTTAGCATAAAGCCATTGCGAATTGGCCATAATTTGTTACCAACTTATGGGTATGGGTGTGCTGCTCTTATCGCCATCAAAATAAAAGCTCATTAATGCGGCATTCGAAAGATTTTAAATATTTGCACAGCGTTTTGTTATTACCATTTTGCCAGACGACGAACCCCCACCCACCCACTGTCCCTGGCCACGCCCCCTATATCATGGCCCCCCTATATTTAAATGCTCTTGTATTATGCATACGCTTTTGTGGCTTTCGGTGTGTGTGTGTCTCGACATGTGTGTGTGTGTCTGTTTGTTTGCGGGCGTCGGTGAGCGCCTCGATTTTAATTAAATATGAAATTCGCTCGCCCTGGCTAGTCGGCGCTGGGCGCAGCTGGAAGCGAATACACAAAAATCAAACAAATAACAAAAAAAAAAATCAACTAATTAAATAAGACAACGAACTTTGGATTCTCTGGGGCTGCGGAAAATTAAATTAAAAACTAAATAAAGTTTAAGAATAAACTGATAGAATAAATAAAAGTAATATTAGAAAAACCATTCCCTAAATGTACAATGCCTCTTATACAATACCTCTTTCTGATTAATTTCATCTTCATCCCAGTCATCTATTACCTTACAACCTTAAATTTAAAAGAAGTGTCACATTTATCTTTAGAAACATTCCATTTTCCCTTCCGTTCCATTTATTTTTTCTTCAAAATACCCCATGCATTCTCACAGTTGTCGGAAAGTTGAGTGAAACGGGAACTAAAGGTGGAAAACGGATGTCGGGGAAGCAGTACGAGAACTTGTCATCCCGGAATTAGTCATTCCCATTCCCAAGTTGGCGACAAACACCCACAGCCACCCACTGGCTCCATTGCTTTAAAAATTCTTTTCAATTGCTGGTCTTAAATGGTACGATAGATCCAATCAGACTTAGTCATGTTGTTTTGAGTTATTTTCTGTTTTGCTCACTTGGACGATAGTAATCCGCTTTAAATAAAGATGATAGGTAGTACATGGAGCATGAAAGACCTCAGAAATGGGAATTCCTTTTTAAAGAGGGAGTTTCGTTTAAACGCTTTTAAAAATTCTCTCCCATAAAAGCAATTATTCAAAGTCAAAAACGGTGTTAAAATTATGCACCTAGTATGGTATTTTTTCTAAATAAACCTTGGCTTTGCGTGTCGGTATGCCGAGAGTGGAAATAATGGAAGAACTGGCTCGTAAAAATAAAAAAAAACACTGTTGCATGCGTTTTGACGTGAAACCCATTTGGGCCCGGGCTGCTGTCGTTTTCTGGTTGCTGTTTTCAACGCAATCTGCGCCACTTGTTTATGGCCGTTTAATGAATGTTGGCACTTGGCGTGCACCAGCCACAGGGACTGTGGCAAGAACACAAACTCCTAGCAGCAACTTGGTGCAACGCGGCTGCTGCCGCTGCTGCTGCTGCAAGCTCAAAAACAGCACTACATGCAACAAAATGAAACGCAAACGAGCCAGGAAAGCCTTGGGTTAGTCCTCCGGTAAAACCAATTTGGAGCAAAACGGCCGTAGAGACCGCAGGAGGAGTGTGTTGTTGCCAGGATTTTAGGTCAGACTCGATGCATGCACAGCGGCTGCCAGCGTCCTACATCCTATCCATTTCACACTGAAAAGATTCAAAAGGGTTTTTTTATGTTACTATAACTCTTCAGACACACTATCTCCTTTGAAACCATAGTACATTAATGTCTTTCAATATCCTTGCTCGATGACATCGCGTTCAAGCTGTTATCGATACATCGTCCTTAATCTTCATCGTCCTTAAAGTATCTCGCATTATCACTATGTTTTTTGCCTAACAATATTTAATAATCTTTGTCACTTATATTTTTTTATATCTTGTGTAACAAGACAATACCCACAAGGATTCTTTATATTTTCTATTTTTTATATTCCATGAGCTGTAAGACAATCTCTGCAACAAACATGTTTCTTTGGCACTTAAACGTAACCTTCACCAAACTTAACCCCTTAAGTTTACTGAATAAACAAAAGAGTTTAAATGAAAATGGAAATTAAATTTTCCTGGGCGCCGGAAAACTTTAGCTCGAGTTTAATTTGGCTAATGAAAAGCGCAAAATGTTGTCTCAATAGCAGCAGCATTCACCCAAAAGTGTAGAAAGTGTAGAAAGTGGTTGAAGCAATGGCAGGGAAAAGTTTCACATAGCAGCTTAAAAAGCCACAATTGAAATACCCTCGAAAAC